TGGCAGCGGCTGGTGGGGGGGAGCCGTGCTGGCCCGCAGCCTGGCAGAGCCGGGTGTGCCAAAGGGAGGGGGCGGGTAGCAGGTATAAAAGCAAAGGGCAGGAGGAACGGCTCCCGAGAGCCACCTGGGCCTGGAATGAAACCGCCCCCACAGCAGGCAGGGGGCCAGGCCTCTGGAGTTCCTGATTTGCGTGACCCTAGTACCTGCCAAAGGGCCCCTGCCCCTTGTTCCTCCCTTGGGGCTGTGGGGGGAGGGTTAGGGGGAACAGTTCCCAGCATGGGACTAGCAGCTCAACCGGACCCTTTGGAGCTTGGGGCGCATGCGAGGCAAAGCGGATCTGCTGCTTTGGTGGTGGGGCAGATGGAGGGGGACTGTCCCAGGGAGCTGTTTCCTGTGGGCCGGATGGGAAATGGGGCCGTGGAGACTTTCCCGTCCGGGGTAACGGGCTGGCTCCAGACCAGGTTGGTAGCCACAGCGAGGCCTGAGCTAGAAGTGGGGGGTTCGCCGTTTCCTCCCCAGGATGGGGAAGGCTCCGCCTATGACCCCCGTGCCTTCCCTGCAGGCTTGGCTCCGGCTCTATGGCTACCTCCCGCAGTCCAGTCGTCAGAGGTCCACCATGCGCTCGGCTCAGACCCTCGCCGCCGCGCTCTCCCAGATGCAGAGGTTCTACGGGATCACGGTGACGGGCGTCCTGGATGAGGAGACCAAGCTGTAAGCCCGGGGAAGGGGCCGGCGTTAGCCCCCCGCCCCTCCCCTCCCCTCCTGCCTGGGCCTGGGGCGCCCACAGGAGGCACTGGCTGTGCAGTCCCAGAGGTGGGGGTGGGAGGGCCAGCCCAAGGCAGTGGCCCAGGGCCCCTTTCCCAGGGTGCTGACCTCCTCCCCCGGCAGCCCCAGAGGACCCCAGCTCTCCACGCCCCGCATCTGCCAGACCTCCCCTTCATCTCCCCACCCACAACTGCCACCGGACCCTCCCCACGGCCAGACACCCCCCCCAATGGGGGGACGTGGGCAACCAGTGGGTGCCCCCTCAATCTCCTTTGCAGCGTCTGGGGGCTGGGCTCCTCCTGCCCCAGCCCCCCGGTCTCTGCATCCTGGCTCCAGTCCCAGGCTCTGTCCTCAGCTGGTGGCCGCTGTGCTTGGCTCCCCCAGGTGGATGAAGCGGCCCCGCTGCGGGGTCCCGGATCAGTTTGGAGTCCAGCTCAAAGCCAACCTGCGGCGGAAGCGGTACGCGCTCACCGGGCGGCGCTGGAGCCAGTCTCACCTGACTTTCAGGTACGGGCGAGCCGTGTCGTGGGGAGCACGGCCTGGCCCCCCTCGCCTGGCCGGGCCTGCGGGGCCCGGTTCTCACTC